CGGGCGGGGGGGCCAGGGATTGGCCATCCGTGACGTTTCTCCCTGCTCCCCCATGTCCAGGCCTCGCCTACGCACTGCTGGCCGGGCTGCCACCCGTCACCGGTCTCTATACCTCCTTTTACCCCGTCTTCCTCTACTTCTTCTTCGGGACATCCAGGCACAACTCCGTGGGTGAGCTGAGGGACCACGTGCTCCCATGGGGATGGTGGGGAGAGAGCAAGGATGAGGGGGATCCATGGCACAGCATTGCCACATCAACAGTTTGGGGGGAACCTTTCTTGCCTTTAATTTGCCCCACAAAGAAGGTGGTTGGCCATACCAGAGCCAAAGCACAGTGGGTGCACTTGGAGCCCGGTCCGAGGGGACAGGTGCCTGTGGACCTCAGAGGGGTCCCAGTGCTGACCTTGGGCTCCCTGCCCACACCCTTCCTGTCCCCAGGCCCCTTTGCCGTCATCTCCGTCATGATCGGGAGTGTGACAGAATCCCTGGTGCCCAGCGAGAAGTTCCTGGAGTTTGTCAATGGCACCAACATCACCATGGTCAATGAGGAACGTCGCGATGCTGCCAGGGTGGAGCTGGTGGCCACCATCACTGTCCTGACAGGCATCTTCCAGGTAAGGGGGCCCCAGCCCAGCCTGGCAGGGAATGGGGGGCCATGGTGCCCCATGGCTACAAGCTGTGGGGCACTCCTCCTGCCACCTCTCCTTCCAGGTGGCCCTGGGCCTCCTGCAGTTCGGCTTCGTGGTGACCTACCTCTCAGACCCGCTGGTGCGTGGCTACACGACCGCTGCCTCTGTGCATGTCCTCGTCTCCCAGCTCAAGAACGTCTTTGGGATCTCCCTGGGCGAGCACTCAGGGCCGCTCTCACTGTTCATGGTGAGTGGAAGTTTACCACTGCCCTGAGACCCCTGGACGCTCACCTGCAGGGCACACAGAGGCCCCCCCAAAACCTGCTGGGGAGACATCTGCTTTCCTGAGCCTGTTCCCACCTCCTGTGTCCTCTAGACCTTCATTGAGATCTGCCAGAAGCTGCCACAGACCAACGTGGGCACCCTGGTGACAGCAATCATTGCCATGGTTGTCATCTTCATCGTGAAAGAGCTCAACCACAAGTTCGCCGCCAAGTTGCCTATGCCCATCCCCATCGAACTTATCACGGTACCCAGAGCTGCCCCAGCTCCCTGTGGGGACGCAGCCATGGCTGGCCCTATCCCCTCCAGGGTGGGATGGGGTGCCTTGGCGAGTGCAGCTCCAGGGCATGCGTCCCCTCCTCCTCCTCCTCATCCATCATGGTCGCTGCACAGGCAGGCCATGCCTCACTCCAGCCATCCTCCCCCAGATCATCATCTCCACTGGTATCTCCTACGGTGTCAACCTGAATGACAAGTTTGGCATCTCCGTGGTGGGCAAAATCCCTAGCGGGTGAGCAGGGCCAGGCGGTGAGGGTGGCTGTGCCAGGGCACCGCACCGCCCACGGGACCCCCCTTTTGAGCCCCGTCTCCCTGTCTTGGCTGTAGGTTGAAGCCGCCTGTGGTCCCTAACTTCAGCTACTTTGGGCAGGTGGTGGGCAACGCCTTCGCCATTGCCGTGGTGGGATATGCCATCTGCATCTCCCTGGGCAAGATCTTTGCCCTGAAGCATGGCTACAAAGTGGACAGCAACCAGGTGATGCTCCAACGTGCAGGGCCCCTTCCCTGAGTGAAAACCAAGCTTGTACTTCTTGCAGCTGGGGAAGGCATGGTGCTCCCCAACCGCTGCTCTGTCCCTGCAGGAGCTGATCGCACTGGGCTTCTGCAACTTCCTGGGGGGCTTCTTCCAGTGTTTTGCCATCAGCTGCTCCATGTCACGGAGTCTGGTGCAGGAGAGCACAGGGGGAAACAGCCAGGTGGGTCTGGGCAGTGCTGCCTCTCTCCATGGGGCTGGACCAGGGGCAAGGAGCACCGTGAGCCGTGGGGGGACTCACCTCTTACCTCCTGCCCTCCTTCCCCTCAGGTAGCCAGTGTCATTGCATCCCTGGTCATCCTGGTGACCATCCTGAAGATTGGAGAGCTCTTCCAGGACCTGCCCAAGGTACATCTGGTCCCACAGTCTCCGTGCTACATCCCACCCCTGTGCCTGTCCCATGGCAAGGTGTTGTGGCAGAGGAACAGTCTCGGCTGCCCTCAGCATCCTCATAGCTGCAGGGACCTCTCTCCTAGGCCATCTTGGCTGCCATCATCATCATCAACCTCAAGGGCATGTTCAAGCAGTTTGTTGACCTCCGCACGCTCTGGAAGTCCAACCGGGTGGACCTGGTAAGGCACTGACTGGCCCCAGGGCTTTGCTCTTGTCCCTGGAGAGGGTTTCTCCCCACTCCCCAAGGCTCGCAGGTGCTGGTGGGGAGGCTGTGCTGCAGCTGACCATGTACCCCCTCCAGATGGTCTGGATTGTGACATTCGTGGCCACCCTCATGCTGAACTTGGACATTGGCCTGGGGGCCTCGGTGGCCTTTGGGCTGCTCACTGTCATCTTCCGCACGCAGCTGTGAGTACCCTGGGGCTGGGGCCGGTGTCACGTCCCAAGGGCAGTGGACGCCTGTGGTCACCTCAGCCCCTTCTTTGCTCCCCACAGCCCCCACTACTCCATCCTGGGGCGCATCTCTGACACTGATGTCTACAGGGACGTGACTGAATACCAGATGGTAACAGCACCAGGGGGTGGCAGAAGAGCCACTTGCAATGGGGGGAGGCAGTTCAAAGCACCCCCAGGGGCTGTTTGCTGGGGAAAGATGCAGGGGGGGCATTTTGGGGGAGGGAGGGAGGGAAGAGGAGCAGGGGGCTCGGTCCCTGGGGCAGCACCCTCAAAAAAAGAGGTCCCTGGTGTGAAGATCTTCCGCTCCTCCTCCACCCTCTATTTTGCCAACGTGGAGCTGTACGCTGAGGCCCTGAAGAAGAAGGTAGGAGAGCCGCCAGCCCCCCGGTGCTCCCCATGCCCCCCGCCTGCCAGCACCAGGGGACACAGGGCTGCATTCTTTTGCAGAGCGGCATCAACGTGGATCGCCTGATCGAGAAGAAGAAGAAGGCCCTCAAGAAGCTGAAGAAACAGCAGAAAAAAGCAGAAAAGGAGAAGGCAAAGAGGGAAAAGGTGCTTCCCTGCCACGGGGAACCCCTCCGGTGCCACCCTGCACCACCTCCCTGCCTGATCCTTGCCCTCCTGCCTGTGTGTTTGCCGGGCTCAGTGGCTGGGGTGGTCCCCACATCCATTCGCGGGGTCA